GTAATATTATAAAGAAAAAGAATATAAATTTTTTTATGATGTATGTATGAATTATGGCCATCTCGTCCCTTGTCATCTCGCCATCAATTTTCCACTTTGACCTACCATCTCGCCCCCAATGTTTCCAACCCTAACCCAACATCTCACCCCATTATTTGAATTACCGTTCTATTCTTGGTTTTCATTGTTCATGTGATAGTTTAAAAAAATCTATTTAGAGGCCAAATAGACCTAATCGGCTAATGTGTTTTCAGCCCAATTCAAACCACCTGGGAGTAAGTTAAATTGTTCATTGTATTTTTATTTCACAGTTGAATTCTTTTTCCCATAGGATTTGAATTGGGTGGTAACTTACATAGCAAAGGGTTAAGCCAACTAGGTCTATTATCGTTACGAAGTTTCAAATCAAAATTAAATGTGTTTTAACAGAAATACGAGAAATTGAAAATTGGTAAGAAAGTCTAAGGACCAAAAGAGCATAATAATTCCTAACAGTTATGCAAAGTTTGAAGTCATACTCTGCTCAAACTACATGTAAATAAATGATTTTGTTGTGGCTAGTGCCTCGGAACGAGGCTCAAGCCACTATGCTATTGCCTGGAGTGCGTGTGAATGTAATTCGGAATAACTTCGTGACTACTCGCTTTTCCGCCGATTCATTTTGTTATTCTTCGTGAATTTTTCCTAACTTTTCGTGTGTAAGTTGGGACTCCTGTGTTTTATCATATTGGGCTTCCTGTGTGATGACGTCACTAATATTGTACCACCCCTCCCTCATCTGTACCTACAATTGCCCTGAACCACCCCTCCCTTGCTAATCTTTTGTCTGCTCGTACACCCGTTTATGTTCCGTTACCCACTCACTCTCTTTATAACTCTACTGAGCTACTGAGTCTACACATAATCAAAAAATATTTTTAGACAGTTTTTACTTTGTAATTTAAAATATAACTAGACGATCAGCGATTGTTTACATGGGGTTCCTGTGGTTTATCCCAATCAGTAAATGATATTGAACCCAAATGAAATTAATATTACTAAGACAACAGCAAAAAAAGATCTCCTTTAATGAAAAATAATCAAACAAGCAATGTACTTAGTAGAATTTAATAATATTGTGAAAGAAGTAATTTATGTCTGACGAGCCGTTACTTTTAAACACAGATCGATAGTCTTTCATGTTCTTCGCTTAAAATACTTTCAATCTTCTGTTTTTGCTCAGTATAAATCTGTTGACATGTCTTAGATAAGTCCTTGGTGATTGTAGAGATGGTACTAGTATAAGTTTGCTTTTGATAAGCTAATGTTTGATAGATATTAATTCACGATCGGTAGATTCACGATAAATTCGCCGTATCTCTCCAAATGCCCTTTTGAGAAACGCTCGAATTTTTTTAGTGTGGCTATGCCGCGAATGGTATGTGGATTTGTAAAGGAATCAAGCGTTCGACATCGGTTCGATCTTAAAAAGCACGAGGCGACGTTTGAATCGTTGCTTAGAAACATGAATGACAGTAAGACAATAGATGTCAAAAATGAAAAGGTCCCGGATATAATTTGAAGCATACCACAGACGAAAAACGTCGGTAATTTAAGACATGGTCTTCCTTTGGAAGCCCATGTAATAATCGATTATAATAAAATTTTAAATTGTATTGATGATTTAATTAAGTATTTTTTTTACATAAACTACAAATTTCACAGATCGAATACCTAGAATAGATGTCATGGAATATGAATAATTACTTATAAGTACATCAATATGCAATCTTAATTATTTTTGTACTTTTATTTACTCTATTATCATTGCTGATTCAACAAAATTCAAAAGATTTTCGAGCAGTCAAGTGTATTTTGAACAATTGTATACAATCAACTACGG